GCAGTCTCTTCCACTAGCTAGGCCTGTATCGTTGTACTTGTCGGTAAAGAGTTCTGTATGGCTTCCTTTCTCCTTTCTAAATTTGAGTTTAGTTTAAACGTAGACTCTGTGTTTGGACAAGACTGCAGGAGCTTGAAGTTCCTTGCCTTTGTTGTGCCCTTGTTTTTGCTTCATCTGATAATTTATAAATTTCAGATTATTACCTGGTGTAATAGATACACATACACATACAGAATGAGATCAGTAAACAGCATTCACCTTCTTGCACGTTTGTGTAACTGTGTGCTGACACCTTGTCAGTAGGTATCCTTGCACTTGGTGGGCTGCCTCCCTCACAAGTCTGCCTTCTTACATAGCTTTAGGTAGGTTGGCCCAACTGCTGCTGCAACCAATCTGATTGGAAAAGCAGGGGAGGGGAGGCTGAACACCTTAAGAGAGTCACTTCAGTCTTTTGGAATGGGGACAAAAGCTTACACAAAAGCTAGGAAATTTTTGTGCTGGAGAGCACAGCCTTATGAGGAGCCTGACAGGTCAGATTTGTTCTAAATGGCCTGGGTTCTCACCATCTTAGGGGGAATTATCTCCCATTTGCTCCTTATTCTGCCATTGTGCAATACTAAGATTGGCCGGTGAAACCCTGAATCCTTTTCTTTCCTTTGTGGACACCATGTTATTTTCTGTTATGATCAGAGCGTTTTCAGTGGTTAATCTATGACGCTGGAATCCTGAAAGTGTTCCACTGCCTGTTTCTGCCAGTTCTTGAAGGTTACTGAGAACATTCTTTAAGCAGGCCTTGGAGATTAGATATTTAAAGCAAGTCTTCTCAACATCTTTCATGTTTGCAGCCATCATTTAGAGTTTGTGCTTATGCATTAAAGATACTTTATTTAATTGATTTTGAAACTACTCTGGAAAAGTTTAAGCTGAAAACTGGCATATAAATATAATTTGTTGGTGAACTCTGCAAACACATAATCATTTGCTCCGTTACAGAAACAGAACAAGACAGATCAAGAGCAAGAGGTGTGTTGTGACATGAGAGCTGTTGCGGACAGGAACATTTGACTTCATTCTACCATGTTTATAAGTATAGCTGTTGAAGGGCTAAGGTGTACTATTTTAGTTCATTTCCCAAGTGTGCACATCATGGAGCTGCTTTACTGTTGACACTGCATCTAGCTAGACGAATGCTTCTTTATTTACCCCTTTCTGCTGAAACACTCGAGGTGGTATATATTTTATAATGGCTCATAGTTGAAGAGACATGATAGCAAAGGAAATAAAGATTAGGGCAACAAGAAGAAGATAGGCATATTCAAGTTCAGGCATATTGCTATTCAGCTGTTGTTAGAGTAAAAAGCAGAAAATCTAGCAAGTTCTTTCCCCACCTCCTCGTGCACTTCAAAGCACTCTGTGAAAACATTTTTATTCAGGAAGATCTTTATGAAAGTCTGTGTATGCAACCTTGCTTTTATGGATCTTATATCTGTGTGATTCTTATTTGTATTTCATGAGTGATAATTCTTTTAATATTGACTTGTGTGAGTTTCTAAAGGGTAGGATGTAAATCCATAGAACAAATACAATATGGGAAGCTGTGTTTTCCAGGGAGCCTTGTGGCTAATGGGATGGGATAAAAGTCTAATAAATAAAACTACACTGGACAAACTGTAAGAAACATTCATCAATTTATTTGGTTTGTACCCCACCTTGTCATCATGACAATGGTGTTCAAGGCAGCTAACATCATAGGAATTTTAAAAAACACATACATAAAAACTTACTTTAGAAAAAGTACATATAAAATCCACAACAATCACAAATTACAATTGCAAAATGAAAACAAGACTCAGCAACAGGTTTACACACTGAAGGCCTGCTTGAACAAAAAAACGAATTTGCTTGCCGACAGTAAATGCATGGTTTGCATGGCAAGAGGGTGGTTAATAAGCCATGGTTGCTTATTAACCACACTTGTGTGTGCCACCAGATTTCCTAATTGTCCTCATTGGGTGCAGCTTGTAGTCACATGGCAAGGCTGAGTTGTTGGAGTGGTTAAGAACCCATCCAGAATCCAGAATTGTCTTGTGTTGTCACTTGATGGTTTGTTAACAAGCCATATCTAGTGAAGGTCATTAGGAAAATCAGGCAGCGTGCCCACATTAAGCTCAGGAACTTGGTCAGAGAGGGATCCATTCCAGCCTTCTTGTATGTGTTCATGTGAGTTTGCAGACATAGATCTTCCCAAAGATTATGACATATTTTCCATTGTAGATAGGGGTGTACTTGAACTGACTTGAATGATGAAGGAACTCTTGTTATAACACGGTGGTGGGCTATCATCCTTTTTAGTTTCAGAGTGACATGTCATACTAAGAACCCCTAGACTGGGTTCACACAACATGATTAACCATGGTGGCTTATAAGCCTGTTCTGGCTGTTTGTTTTGCCTAAACTGAGGCACATGGTTTGTTAACCATGCACATGCCACTCTGACTGGGCTCCGGCAACACAAGAAGCCATTCCTGGTTTATAAGCCACCATGTCTTATTGTGTTGTTCAAACCTAGGCATGGCCTGTTGTTTTGTGGTTTGTTTTTCAAGGTGGCTTGACATGATGTAAACCTGGAAAAGATGTTTATGAAGGCTTGTCCCATGTGTCTACAGAGCTGCCTGGAAGGAACAGCAATAACCATGGTGTTACAGCTACCAGACAGATCAGTGCTATTTATCTTTCCACCAGTACATAAATGAAACTTTGGAATATTATTTGCATTTGGGGAGATGATTTGGAAATACACAAATGGGTTTATTTATAATGTTTCTGTCATTCATAAGCACAATTGTTCACCTGTTTGCTAGCTGCTTTCTTTTGTCTTAGCAGCAGTACAGATCAGCATCTTCTCTGTATGCCTGAAAATCCTATTTATCAGTTGTATCCTCTTGAAATGCCACTTGTCAGTTTCTTTGATGACTTTCTTGATTCCAAAGTCTGATGGTGGTGGATGAAAAAGGTGGAGCTTTTGGCATGGGGAAGTATAATTGCTGTTGGAGTACAGGCATATGTACTGTGAGAGCATGGCTATACTTACTGTACACATGGGTTGGTATTAATTTAAACCATTTCTGTCTTCTGCGTATGTGCACATTAGTCTGTCAAAGGACAGAAAAAGAATACAAATAAAAAGTGGAGCCAGTTGCACAGTAAGTACACCCCTACTTCTGCAGTAGTAAACCCACTTACGAACTTGTGGAAAGGGCAGTGGAAAAGGTTGCAAATAGAAAAATTGTGCAGAAAAGGGGTAGCAGTCAGAGCAGGAGAGGAAGTTTGAACAGTGTTTGTAGCAATAAAAATATTGCAAATGAGACTGGGATATGTGCAGGGAGTGGGCTTCTGAACTGGAGACAAGCCACAGCAAGGTGCAGAATGCCCAATCACCCGTTGAGAATAACATGGCTTAGCAAGGAGGCAGACAACCCACCAGACCTTCTTTTCAGGGTGGCTTATTGTGACATGGTATTTATCCATTGTCTAAGTTTGCACAATTGTGAAGTGGAAAATAGGTCATAGTGGGTTTTTTTCTGCCCCCCCCCCACACACACACATATACTTTCATTAAGTATAGCAACTCAGCTTCTCTTGTTACATAAATCTGGCCAGGATGACTTGTTGCTCAAAACCATGGACTGCTTTAGGGCTGTGGTCCTGTTCTAATGCCTTGTGAATGTTCTAAGGTACGTGTTTAGCTCTAGCAATCATTAGTCCCATTTTCCACAGAAGGGGAAGAATAGAGGAGATGAGGCACAAGGTTCTAAGTTCACGTCCTGACATATCTAGCTAAACAGACCTCCGTTATGTGTGCTTTCAAGATTTCTGCTGAAATCCTTCAGAAAGCTACTGCTAGTTAGAACAGGCCTGTCATGGATCTGTCACCTAACTCAGTAAAGCAGCCTCATCAGTTCATACATTTGCACATGCATGGAAGCTGTTTCATACGGAGTCTAGATCTGTGATGTTGGACAGTTGGCCTCATCATCCCTTAGAAACATTTTAATAATTTTAATTATCTCAGTCGTTTATTTCCATGCCAGTCTCTCTCATCATTTGTAATTCCATTTCATGTAAGTAAAATAGTTAAAAATCCAACAAGAATGGTCTAGTTCACTGAAAATGACAATTCGGCAAATGAAGTAAATCATGGTCTAAATTTATAGGCGGTCTCTGAGGCAGTCAGGGTTCCTGGTATAGTTTTCTGGAAATGAATGTCTTTTACTGGCTGAAAGTGCTACATCAGGAGAGAAATGGGGCTAATCTGCAGGTGGTGGCTATTGTGGTTACAGTAAAGATATCAAAAACAAACCAGATTTACATTTTCCAGAATGTTGAATGACTAGTTGCTTGGAAGTCTTTTTTCTGAGTAATGTGATAAGAAAGCAATGTGTATATTTGGTGCTTTTCATTTAGTAATTTTCTTTATCATGCTTGCTTTTAGTCAATGGATCATTCACAGAGCAAAGTGAGCAGTGTAGGTATGAAGAATTTTATTGTACGCATTTGCTGATCATCGTATTTGAGAACATTTTGCATTGCAAATTATTCACAAAGGGCTGTCAACTATTATCATGATGTCACGAGTTCAGCTAAGGTGCAAGAATTTAGCTTTGTAACTTAACCTCTTTAGTAAAATTATAGAGTGGGAAGAGAACCAAGGATAATCAAAGGTAGTTTCCTCAATTAAATTCTGGAGAAGACAGGTCTACCCTCTGGCCTTTGGTGTAGATATAACCCCATCTCGTGTTGCATCTCTTACATGCTGCTGTAACCAGCATCCTAGAACTATCAGTATGTTTTCAGAAGATACTAAACAATAAGTATGATAGGCAGGACTGTAGAAGCAGTAGCCCACCAAGAGAGTGAAGAAATTTGTGATGGGAATTGGAATGGAAGCGCAAAAGACAGTTTTGATAAGGCCAGAAGGGCTCACCTGGCCTTTTGTGACAATGGACAATGAGCAAGATCCTCGAAGGCAGGATCCTCCATGTGTCAAGCAACAACTTTACATCATACATGAACATTTATGGCCAGACCATAGCATTGTAAATACAGTTACTGTTTAGAACCTGAATATAAAGCAAAAGCTCTCCACCATTCTGTCTAGTAAACAGTTTAGCATTAGTTTAATGTATGAGAGAAATGATCCACCTCAGCTACCTCACAGGGTTGTTGTGAGGATAAAATGCAGAGGAGAACCTTGTAAACTGGCTTGGTTTTCTCATAAGAAAGATGGTATATAAAGGCAATGCAAGAATAAGAAAAGAAGAAAAACAACCCAAATGCTTAATTAATGCATAGATGCTTCCATATTTTAATAAGAGATTTATTTTTTAAAAAGTAAAATGAGAATAAATTAACATACGTACACATACTCATGCATTGATTCATTAAAAACTGAACCAAAAAAAAGTTTTATATCCTTTAATGTGCATCATGCCCTACCAGAGCATCTCATGGTGTGCTTCTACAAAGTTATTTGGATTGCTTGTTACCCGTATACAAGCACTGCCTTGGCAATAAGCCACAATGGGGTTGTTTTTGGTGAAACAACCCACAGTATGCTCAATAGATAACCTGGCATAATAATGGATAATCCTCCCATGAGAATCACAGGGGAGCCTATGGCAGGACCAACTTATTTTTCCCCTCCCAGTCATGATTGCATGTTTAGGGCTCACCACAGCCTTTTTCCACTATTCTTCAGAGAGTGTGAAAGCCAGCTGAACAGCTAGGCTTTGTGATTCCTGTTTGGCAGCCACTGAGAGCTCCTCCAAGGTGTCTGATTTTTTCAGAAAGTCTATGCAAATATGCTTGCATTCTTATTTTTTTAACCATGCTTTTGCAATTGTGAAGGTCTATAGTTCCATAAATGCATAAATGTGAAACCTTGAGTAGGTCAAATGTCCTGAAGAACATCTGCTGTCAAAGTACAACAGGCATCAACCTTGGGCATTGACCCGAAACTATTCTAAATACTAATTTTCTTTCCGTTGGTTTCTTGTGAAAAGGGTGGTGAGATTTAAACTACTTTAAAGAAGAGATCATCTTTATTTATTTATTTATTTATTTATTCTCCCTGATAATCTTCAGCATGATGCACATTTGCACCCTGCGAAATTTCATGATTTCTTCCAAGATGGTGAAATAAGCTGCAGCAAACTTGATATGGCTCATGATCATGCAAGAGAGTTCAGTAATGCAGTGCCAGCTGCCTGTGAGTGCCACTTGGGCACTTGGAAGTTGTCACTGGTGGATGTCATTGGCAAGAACAGCATGGGGGGAGGGGGGTTCCACTCTTGCCAAGCCACTCGCTAGCCAATTCCTGGACTGGTTCAGATTGCTTGGATTTGAGTGACACAGTAACCTATCATGCCTACACACCTACAACAGCCCCATGGATTGTCAGGGTGACTTGTTGTCTATATACAAATCATCCTAGAAGAATTGGTTTATATGGCAAGACAGCCCATCATGGGTAACCCACATTGGGTTGTTGCATTGTGCAAACTTAGTGCCACCAATGCTTGAATGGAGTCAATCCAAGGATACCACAATGTTCATAGAATAGTAGAGATGGAAGGGGCCATGAAGGCCATCAGGTCCAACTTCCTGCTGTTGCATGACACCAGGTCACACCATCCCACTCAGATGGCTGTCCAGTTTCTTTTTGAATGTCTCTAGTGTGGGAGAGCTCACCACATCTACGCAGCTGGTTCCACTGTTGTGTTGCTCTGACAGTGAGGAAGCTTTTCCTGATGTCCAGCGTGAATATGGGTTGTCGCAACTTGAATTGATTGTTCCATGTCCTACACTCAGGCATGAGCAAGAAGAGATCTGGACCTTCCTCTTTGTGACAGCCTTTGAGGTACTTACAGAGGAGTGTCATGTCCCCCCTCATTCTTCTCTTCTCAAGGCTGAACATGCCCAGTTCTCTCAGTCTCTTCTCATCGGGTAGTGTTTCCAAACTCTAGATCATTTTTATTGCCTTTCTCTGGACCCTTTCTAATTTTCCTGCATCTTGCTTGGTGCCCAGAAGTGGACACAGTATTCCAGATGAGGTCTGACTAATGTGTATATTGATGGTATCAAAAGCCAGTGAAATATTGGGCAAACATAGCAGGGATTACACTCCACTTGTCCTTCTCCAGGTAATGTTAATCAGGGCAACCAAAACTGATTAAGTCCCATAACAAAGCTGAAACTGAGTCTAGAGTGTCTGCAGATGATCAGTGTCCTCCAAGAGTGCTCCACCACAACCCTGCTCTAGGCTCTTTCCATGTATACTGAAGAATGATTAGAAGGGTGTGCCAGATGCTTAATATATCTGATTCTAATCTCTAATTAAAATGTTGGCTTTTATTGCTCTTACATTTGATGTAATAGGACTTACTTCATTGTAGCTGGAAGCTCTACTTTCTGTTTTTTTTTCCTTTCTAATTCAGCAAACCAAATTCCATCTGCTGTGTACATGAAATGCAGATGTACTTCTTTTAAATTCTTTTTGTGTTTATACTTATTGGAAAACTTGGGGCAGACGGGATTTAAAATTTCTTTCCTGGGATTTTTGACAGGGACCTGGTAGTAGAGGCTGGATCTCAGACAATACTAGGGGCAAAAGGTTCTTAGGTCTAAGAAAACAGAATGCTTCATTTACATCTTAAACTAGCTTCTTTCTCTAGATTCTTTCTAGAGAATTTTCTTTCTTGAATAATGTTGATCTAATTATGAGTGAAATTCTCTGGGCTCAATTCAGAATGTGCTGTACGTACATGCTACTTGTTTTTAAAGCATCTGAAAATGTACTTCAGTATTAAATTTTTGAGAATGAATACATAATAAGCACTCGCCACCAAATTAATGCATTCTGTGAGACTTGTAATTTTTGAACAAGGTATGGTTTAGCTATGGTTTGAAGGCACATAAAGCATCCACCTGGTTGAAGCTAAGCAAGTCTAGGGCTGGCCTGAGCTTGGAGGGGAGACCACCTGGAAACTGCATGCAGCCACCATAAGTTCCACAATGGGAGAAAAGTGGGACATAAATCTAACAAATTTATAACAATCACCGAGCCATTAAAAGCATGGTATCTGTTGGATGCCTGAAGTCATCTAAACCATTTCTGGATGAGTTACAAATCAGCAAGGTTTTGAAGTCATAACTTGCTTCTGATCATATCATTAGATTTTTCACTTACTGTAAGTAATGAAAGCATTGGCAGAACATGCCAATAAAGCTAGGAAGGATGTGAGGTGGAAGTAGTCCTCTAAGTCCTTGCACACTTCTGATGATGTCATCAGGACTGCAAGAGATTTTAGAAGCTTCCAAATATGCAGTACCTCTCCTGGCATCAACTAGACCCTTCCTGCTACTCCCAGCACTACACCGACTCTCTGTGTGTAAGAGAGACACACGGAGTGACAGACTGACAGACTGGAACAGGAGTGGTGATTCGCACTATGAAGAATGCAGCAAGCTCAGATAATACAATGTGTGGCCCTCCATATGTCCTGGTCTGCACATCTCATTACCCTTTGCCATTGCCTGTGCTGGCCAAGGTTTATGAGAGTATTTGGCCTAAAAAGCTAGAGACCACAAATTGCCCTCACTTGCTTTAGGCCCCGGTGTTTTCCTGTTAAGTTTATTGAGACTGCATCAAGGCCCAAGAATCTTTAGCTTTCTCTAAGATTTCATTCAAACTCCCACATGTGGCCTAAAGGAGCACATTTCCAATAGTTACCTGGAACCATCCTATTAATAGTAGTGGTTGAATTGCTTGGGTTCGGAAACAGAAATAATTCAGGTCTGGAATATTCCCTGTCTGGAGCCCCTTCACTAGGCTCAGTTTGTCATCCAGCTTGCTAACTTGCATTGATGCTGCTAGCCCAGTCCTAAGAAGTAGAATGCCAGATGCAAAGCCTCTTGCAAAGTATGCCCCTTATCCAAAGTCAGGGATGTGTGAGGGACTGTTTGGAGGTAGGACTCCGTCAGATTCAATGTGCACAACTCCCCAGACTCCAGTCCACTTTGCAGAGGTCCTCAGTCCAAATTCCTGAAGAGTGTGCCTAGCACTCACGAGTTGTTTGCCAGGGATCAAGCCCATATTCTGACCTCTTCATTCTCTGTTCTCATTCACCCCTCCCCCCCAATGCCCCATTCTGCTCACTGAGGTTGCTTTCCTGACCTTGGAAAACAGCTTGCCCAGTACTTTTGGTACCAACTGTGAAGGAGTAAATGGCCAATTCCAGCTCTAAGTTTGGAGCACAGTCTCTGCCCTCAGATTTGGGAATCTGATATCCTTCAGAGGTTGTCTAGGTCCATAGGATTGTTTCTTTAAATTACATGTTTTGATTCATGTAACAAACTCACTCTTGGCCTACTGCTACATCCACTAACTCCACTCTCACTGCAGTTATTAGTTGCTGTTACTAAGTTGTTGTTGTTGTTGTTGTTGTTGTTGTTGTTATTATAACATTTCTATGCCGCCCCTTGCCAAAGCCTCGGGGCAGCTTACAACACAATGAAATACATTGAAATACAATAGAACATAATAAATTACCATTAAATACAAAAATACAAAAAATACACTGAGTTACAAACATAATAATATAAAATTAAAATTATCAGTATAAAATAAGTAAATAAATAATACAGGAGGAGAAAAGAGAAGGAAGAAGAAGTTGCCCTGGCCAGATCGTATGTTTTAACAATTAAAATGATGTTTAAATAAGAAGGTCTTTACCTGGCGCCGAAAAACCAGTAACGACGGTGCCAGGCGGACCTCTTTGGGGAGTGAATTCCATAGGTTGGGCGCCACCGCAGAGAAAGCCCTCCTCCGAGTACTTAC